AGGGGTGCTGTGATATGGCCAGGGCACCTAGGAGCTGCAGGGAGCACGCGGTGCCCCTAGGGCATCAGTCGGGCCAGGTAGAGAGCGAAGGCCCCCGCTACACTGACAGCTCCCTCTGTCCAGTCAGATCTCCTACAGCTCTTGCTAAAGGAAACTCCCCAGGGTTCGAGACCCTGGCTGGAGCTGGAAAAACCTGAGGCTGAGGTCCTGAAGATAATGCCCTTTGCTGGTGGCGAGCTGGCAGCTCCAGGCAGAGGGAGAAGGTAGAGCATGGCCATGCCTGCTCGTGGTGCCAGCCCAGGAAAGGGGATGCCCCAAGAAGCAGCCTCCCGCTCCATGAGCTTGGAGAAGGCAGCCTGCCCGCCTCCCCTCAGCAAGGAAGGCAGGAGCTCCTCAGACAGACACCAGACCCATGGCCGGAGCTCCTCTTAGATGATCAAGAGCCAGGGCCACGCACCCAAGGGCACCACGTGGTCTGGTGAAACCACCATGCAGGACCAGCAGTTGGCGTAATGGCTATGTTGCTGGACTCCCACTTAGTCTACCGTGGTTCAAGTCCCAGACCCGGTGGCTTAACTCACACCGGGCGCGTGTGCATGGGTACCCAAGATCCAGAGAGGAGAATGGAGAAGAAGGAACTGAGGCGTGGTCATCGCCCCTGGGGGGTGATTTCTTGCATTCTGTCTCTTTCTCTCTCTCTTTCTGGCGAGTGCATGCACCCTATAGTCAGAAAAGAAAAGAAAAACCTCTGCCAAAAAAAAGAAGAAAAAGACACCACCACGCAGCCATGCACAGATGGCAGCCAGGCCATCCCATTCCCTGTCAGCGCCTCCCCAGGCCTTTCTCAGTCTGCCCTCGGCCAGAGGACAGGCTCTAGCCTAACCACCACATGACAAGGCCAAGGAGACAGGAGAGTGGGGGCTGCCGAGGAATGGGCTCAGAGCCTCCAGCTCAGAGGCGGCCCTCCCTGCTGGGACTCTCCCACTCAGAGGACACAGTCAAGCTCTTGGGCAGCCCTGAGTCCCCTATGCACTAGCAACCAGAACGAAACAGCCCCTGGCATGGTCCCCCAAGTCCACACGGCAAGTCCTAATCCCCCAGTGATGGTATTAGAAGGTAGGCCCTCCAGCAGCTGGTCGGCAGAGCTCTCACAGATGGATCAATGCCCCTGTAAAAGGGGCCCCGAGAAAGGCCGGTGAGTACACGAGCAGGCGCCGCCTATGAGCAGCACAGAGGGCCCTCGCTGGAGTCTGGTCACGGTGGCGCCCTGGTCTCCGACCATGAGACATAACCGTGCCGTGTAAGAGCCACCGTGTGTACCGTTACAGCAGCCTGAGTAGACTGAGGCCCCTGGCAGCTCACGTCACTGTAGCTCGTAGGAACCCCCAGAAGCAGAGCCTGAAAGCCCTCCCTGCTGAGACGCCGGTGTCACAGCGGCCTTCCTTGACCCAGCAGTAAAATAAGAACTGGCTGATCTACAAACAGCCTGCAAGGTGAGGGTGCCACCGTGAACTGAGGTGAGGCCTTTTGCTTCAACTGGCTTCCAGCTGGATCAGAAAGACTGAGACAGGCTCAAGGGACCTGCAGACTGGAGCAGGGCCTCCCATATGAACAGTACCCGCTAGCTAAGCACTCACTGTAAACCAAGCAGGCACCAGCGCATTCAAGACCCTAACCACACTCCGAGGTAAGACCTACTACCCCGCTTCACAGAAGGGAAAGGGAGACCTAGGGACATGAAATACCCTGCTCAAGGACACCTGCTGAGTGGGACACGTACTGTCCTTTGCATCATCTTCACTGCCTTCCAAAGCTCTGCCTCGGGTCTGTCTTACAGCTCTCTACAGCTCTGGGGTCGCATTCCCAAAAGGAACTCCTGGTCTTCCCACAAGCTAATATTCAGCAAGGACAGAGGGCCAAGGAGGGGCCCACGTTCCTTCAACAGTCCTGCCCAGTGTCTGCTAATCTCAGAGTCCCACAGATGTACTTTTCTTTCTTCCCCAACACAAAACACAAATATTTGAGGTGTTCCACATGCAATTAACCTGAGTGATCATTACACACTGTATTTATATATTGAAAATCACACTGAAAGCCATAAACATGTATAATGCATATGCATTAGTTATTAAAAAAGAATGTACCTTCAGAGGATACTGGAAATATGCTGCCCGTACGGCAGTGCTCAGAATACAAAGTCAGGCTGCGGACCACTCAATGCGAACTTGTGACTTGAATAGAGATTAGGCTGGTGGAAAACACTGGGGAAACTCTGGGAGACACTGGAGTAGGCAAAGGCTTCTTAAATAAGACCCCCAAAGCAAGGGCAGTAATTCCCAAAAGAGACAGGCGAGATTACACCGGGTTAAGAAGTTTCTGTCGAGGACAGTATGTATGGTATCTTCAACTGGACTGATGTGAAGTAAATTCATGCTGGGTAAGTTCACTTTCCAAAGATGACCCACTTACGCAAAATTGATCAAAATGAAGTGTTATCTGTCACTGATAAAAACACACCATCAACATTCCAGTATGTCTTCTTTTCATAAAAAAGGGGCCAAAAGTTCTCAAATTTATCTTCATGGACACCTTGTCCGGCAGAGCATGGTCAGCACAACGGCAGATTCTCCCCAGACCACGTGGGAGGAACCAAGGGCCACAGACGCCACAAAGCCTCCGCAGACGTACTTTTCTGCCCTGCTTTTGTCACAAATCACTACCCCCAATTCTGAGACAATGCCCCTGGGGAGCCGGGGGACTCCCACTGGCCCATGAGGCCTTCCTCCCCGCTCCCGGGCCTGGCGCCCTCCCTGGCCATACCGAAGTTGTTGGCGGGGTAGCGCTTGCGGAGCCGCTCCGTGAGCCGGGACACCTTGCTGCGCAGGACCTCGTTCTTACTCAGGAACCCGTTGTCCTGGAGGGCCAGCTCATCCTCTGCTGGGCATGGGGTGCCTTCGTCATCCTCCTGTGGGGACACTTCCTTCCAGCTCTGCCCACCTCCTGAGCCCTGCTCTGTGCCCTACGTGTGAGGCACCCCAGCATGGCAGACCCCAGAGGTGTGGCAACAGCTGTCTCAGCCACCCTCCCCAAGGCCCGCCCCTGCCCGCCTGACCAACATGCCTACTCACCAGCACCACCAGGTGGGTCTCCTGCCTCCCGAGGTGCAGGGAAGGAAGGGAGAAAACAGAGAAAGATAGCAAGGGAAAGCTGCTGAAGGGGAGCCTCCAAGCACAATGAAAGGTGGATGTGCCACTCTGACTCCCAAGTGCCTCCCAGAGGTCCGTGTTAAGAGCTGCCCCAGGGAACCAGCAGTTAGCGTAATGGCTATGTCGCTGGACTCCCACGTAGTCGACCGCAGTTCGCATCACGGACCCAGTGGCTTAAAACTCACGCCAGGCGCATGTGCGTGTGTGCCCAAGATCCCGAGAGGAGAATGGAGAAGGGATTGCGGCGTGGCCATCCCCCCTGGGGGATGATTTCTCGCTTTCTGTCTCTCTGTCTCTCTCAGTCTGTCTGGCGAGCGTACACGCCCTGTAGTGAAAAAAATCTCTCCAAAAAAAAAAAGAGTTGCCCCATAAAAGGACCGGGCCTCAAACAAGCTTGCAGCCAACTATGGACCACAGCTCTTCACACTGGGTCACATCACCTCCATGGGTCCCGATTTCAACAGAACAGGACGGAACAGAGAAGGAAAGCATCCCTACAGAGTACTCTCAGGAAGCTTCTGGTCCTTTAAGGGTTACATATTTTACAGACAGTGTGAACTGGGCAGATGCGAAGTGTGCATCTTTCTGTAGGTTGTGAACAAAAATGCTTGAGAGCTCTTGCTATACCTGCCCAACCCAGATCCATAGTCTGCGACTGTCCATCACAGTCTTCGAGAAATCCTTTGCTGTCAAAAACCCAAACGCCTGCGTGAACTGGGCTGATGCAAGAGTGAGGAGGGCTAGGTGCATATCATGGGGATTCACAAGTCCCACATTTCTTTTACTTTTTAGCTATAGGGCGTGCCTCCCATGAGCGCACACGCCAAGACCGGAGAAGGAAAGTGAGAAACCACCTCCCAAGAGGATGGTCACACCACCATCCCTTCTCCTCCATTCTCTTCTCAGGATTTCAGGCATGTGTGCACACTTGCCTGGCACAATTTCCAAGCCACTGGTTCTCAAACCATGGAATCAGCTATACGGGATCCGGCATCTTAGCTTCTATGCTACTTGCCAGTCCAAGACCCCCATTTCTATATCTCAATTTCCCATTTACACAGAGACATAGAGAAGTGATTTCCAGGGGCCACCAGGTGGCATAGTGGAAGGTGCTGAATTCCCACATGGCCAACCACAGTTCAAGTCCCAGACCTGCAGTATAAAACTCACACCAGTCACATGTGTGTACATGCCTAAAAACCCTGAGAGGAGAATGGGAAAGAAGGGATTATGGGAGGAAAAGGGATTATGACATGGCCATGCCCCCGGGGGGTGATTTCTCAGTCTGTCTCTCCAGTGAGCATATGCACCCTACAATAAAAATCTCTCTAAACAGACAGAAGTGCTTCTGACTATGAGAAAACAATATTGTAAATGTGACCATAAATAGCGACTGCCACCAGGCCTCAGTGACTGCAGAGGATAAGTAGTACTGGGGACCTATACCCACAGCACGTGACTTATTGAAAAGGGAGTCAGTCCTCAGCTACACTGACTGCTGCAGACTCAGGCTGCCAGGAGAGCCAGAAACCCAGTTCTATCAAAAATCTAACCAGTTCTCTCAAAAATCTCCCTGTGCTCAAAGACGCTCAAAACATTACAACTCTGCATGCCAAATAACACATTGTTGCATTCCACAGCTGGAACCACCAGCCTAAAACCAAGAAGGCTACTTAACAGACCTGACCCAGCTCCTGGCTGTGTAACCACTGTTTCCAACCTCCCTCCCTGGCCCCGAAGGGACGGCTTGTGGAACTCGCTAGCAGAAGGGCAGACATGGGGCAGCAGCCCCTCCTAACCTGCCTTCCTTAGCTTCCCCGCGGGACATTTCCCAGAGGGAGGAGGAGTTCAGTGGCACCCTGTCAACTAGTGAGTTCTAGCTGGCCTCTCATTTGGATGTAAGCAAATTAAAGAAAAACACAGCTCCAGGACCACCCAACCTCTGGCCTGGTCAGTAGCGGTGCTGGGGAAGGGTCACCCACCTCAATCGCGTCTTTAAATTCCTCGTCTGGCTCTGCCTCCTCGGCCTCCTCTACGCTGCCTGGTGTGAGGTCCTGGGCAGAGAGACACCATGACAGATGGAGAAGGCTGGCAGCCCTGTCCTGAGCAGAGGAACACCTGTTCTGAGCTAGTACCCAGGCGGCCAGCACCTGTCTCTGTCCCACAGAAAACAGCCCAAACACAAGAAAGGAGGGGCCAGAGGAAAGCGAACACCTTCTAAGCCAGCAAAGGAAGGGAGATAGGAACAAGGCCAAGATTGGACCTACGGTGGCTGCAGAGCACAGAGTTGGGAGCGTGGCCTGTGTCAGGCCTTCAGGCTCTGGGCAGTCCACCTGTGCCTCAGCCCTCCCTTCTGCACAAAAATCCCATTCTCTAAAATAACCTAGACCCCACAGGGTTAATATCTCTGAAGTGCTTGGAACAGCATCTGACCCAGAGCAAGTGCTCAATAAAGCACAGGGTAGCTACGCGTATCACGATTCTTCTTACAAAGCGCTTCTTGGGGGATCAAGCCGGAGAAGACGCAGGAAGACAGGCCTGCCCAGGAGCTCTGTGGTAGGAACAAGTTGGAAACAGGCAGGCCCCACCCCCTGCCTGCGGCAGGCCTGGCCGACAATCAGGACACTTACCTCCGTGGGCGTGGGGGCAGGCGTGCTCTCCAGCAGAGCACCCATCTCCGCAGCGTCCGGCGGTGGTGGGCTCTCCTGGGTGTGCTCTTCCTGCCTGGGGTTCATCCGCTGCTGCAGGGATGCCCTGTACTCAGACACCACTACCCAGGCAAGACAACAGGGCAAAGGCAGAAACGAGACAATGAATGACACTTGGGAGTACGCCACTCTGCAGCTGGCTGGCCTCTTCCTCCAGCACCCTCTCTGCTGGAGGAAAGAGTCGCCTACCTATCTGAGCTGCTCACCTAACCTAAGCCACATAAACAAGAGAACCACCACCATCCAACCCAGATGGGAGGGAGGTTAAACATGGCAGTGCTTGGTAAACCAGGGCTCTGCAGTTAATTACCCGCCACAGGGAGAGAATAAACACAGCCATCACCCCAGTGCGTGCACAGGTCCAACCCTCTGTGACTCAGGCCTCCACACTGCCTCAGATGGCAGGTGGGTACTCCAGGATCACACAGAGATGTGGCAGCAACTCCAGGTGGCTTGGCCTGGAGGACTGTAGCAACTTTGGAAAACATCCCTCCCTCATCTCCTGAAAGCCACCCTATCATGGAAGCAGTGATTCATCTGCCTCGGGGAGGGGGGACCCCTCTGGGAGAGTGTCCCCAGTGAGATGTCAGCCTCACCTAATGTCTCAGAGACGCAGGAGAAAGACCACTGGGGAAGACCGCCAAGTGATGTCCCCACCTTGTGGCAGGCACAGCAAACAGGTGGACGGGAAAGGGAGCCTACCCCAGCCCTCAGCACTGGCTTGAACCCCACTCCATCAGACTCCCCAGGGCTTACCTCGGAAGAACTCCACGTTCCCCAAAAAGAGCATGCTGTTTAAAAGGGTAAGGACCCAGCAGAGCGGCAGCAGGTACAGCATGCACACCGTGCCCAGAAGAGCCCCGTAAAACCTGCGTGAAGGAAGAACCACAAGATCGCAAGGTCGGAAGGACCAGGTTTCTTATCCACATGGCGTCTGGGAGAAACAGCTCTGAGTGCAGGTAACACACTGGCAAGACCTGCTCATCAAATAGCAGGAAATAGTGATGAAGAAAGATTCAGAACTCCCCACGAGCCACCGTGACTAAGAACTGATGCCCGTGAGGCTGCGATGGTGTCTGGGGTGGAGGGCCGCATGGATTGGTTTAAACTCTGCCGTCACAACTCAGGGTCTCGAGTCTGAAGTATAGAGTATCACACGCTGGGATCAGAATCCAGCTTTGCCATGTCTCACCGCGGCCAGTCTCTGGGCATCGCACTTCTTTCCATGGAAGATGGGGATTAAAACTATGCCTATTGGTTGGGACCAGCAGTTAGCATAATGGCTATGGCAGTTAGCATAATGGCTATGTCACTGGACTCCCACGTAGTCAACCATGGTTCGAGTCCCGGACCCGGTGGCTGAAAACTCACGTCGGGCGCGTATGCGTGCATGCCCAAGATCCCGAGAGGAAAATGGAGAAGGGATTGCGGCGTGGCCATCCCCCCTGGGGGGTGATTTCTTGCTTTCTATCTCTCTGTCTTTCTGGTGAGCACACGCACCCTATAGCAAAAATCTCTCCAAAAAATTATGCCTATTGGGGCCGGCAGGTGGTGTGGTAGTTAAGGGTGCTGGACTCCCACATGGCTGACCACAGTTTGAGCCCCAGATCTGGCAGCTTGCTTTTTCACTTTCCCTTTCTCTCTCTCATTCTCTCTCACTCTCTTGCTCTGTCCCTCTCTGGTCAAATTAAAAATAAATATATAAAGTTAAATAATTCTTAAAAAAAATAAATAAAAAGGGCCACTAAGAAGGCTGAGACAATGCACAGGAAGCCAGGGCTTACCTCGGAAGAACTCCACGTTCCCCAAAAAGAGCATGCTGTTTAAAAGGGTAAGGACCCAGCAGAGCGGCAGCAGGTACAGCATGCACACCGTGCCCAGAAGAGCCCCGTAAAACCTGCGTGAAGGAAGAACCACAAGATCGCAAGGTCGGAAGGACCAGGTTTCTTATCCACATGGCGTCTGGGAGAAACAGCTCTGAGTGCAGGTAACACACTGGCAAGACCTGCTCATCAAATAGCAGGAAATAGTGATGAAGAAAGATTCAGAACTCCCCACGAGCCACCGTGACTAAGAACTGATGCCCGTGAGGCTGCGATGGTGTCTGGGGTGGAGGGCCGCATGGATTGGTTTAAACTCTGCCGTCACAACTCAGGGTCTCGAGTCTGAAGTATAGAGTATCACACGCTGGGATCAGAATCCAGCTTTGCCATGTCTCACCGCGGCCAGTCTCTGGGCATCGCACTTCTTTCCATGGAAGATGGGGATTAAAACTATGCCTATTGGTTGGGACCAGCAGTTAGCATAATGGCTATGGCAGTTAGCATAATGGCTATGTCACTGGACTCCCACGTAGTCAACCATGGTTCGAGTCCCGGACCCGGTGGCTGAAAACTCACGTCGGGCGCGTATGCGTGCATGCCCAAGATCCCGAGAGGAAAATGGAGAAGGGATTGCGGCGTGGCCATCCCCCCTGGGGGGTGATTTCTTGCTTTCTATCTCTCTGTCTTTCTGGTGAGCACACGCACCCTATAGCAAAAATCTCTCCAAAAAATTATGCCTATTGGGGCCGGCAGGTGGTGTGGTAGTTAAGGGTGCTGGACTCCCACATGGCTGACCACAGTTTGAGCCCCAGATCTGGCAGTTTGCTTTTTCACTTTCCCTTTCTCTCTCTCATTCTCTCTCACTCTCTTGCTCTGTCCCTCTCTGGTCAAATTAAAAATAAATATATAAAGTTAAATAATTCTTAAAAAAAATAAATAAAAAGGGCCACTAAGAAGGCTGAGACAATGCACAGGAAGCAGTGAGCACAGCGCCAGGCCCGAGGTGCAGACTAAGTAGATGCGCGTGTGTAAAGAGCCTCAAACTAGTCATTCCACCTGGCGCAGCTACATCCTTAAATTCACTCTAAGAAAAAAATTCAAAAAATTAAAGCTAAACCCATTAAAATGTTCACCCTGAGGTTAGAAATGAAAAACAGTTGAACACGGCTAGTAGGTGGTATGATGGTTAAGGCAGCAGGATGCCACGTGGCCAACTATATGAAGTTCAAGTCCCAGACTTGCGGCTTGAAAATCACACTGGGCTCATGGATTGCAGCATGGGCATACACTGTGGGGATGATTTCTCAATTTCCCTCTCTCTATGGTACCCTATAAGCAAACTAAAGAAATCAATTAAATAAATAGGCAATCTCTCTCAAAAACAAACAAACAAAAATGTCTGGTTAAGCAGAAGCACCAAGAAGGCTATAAATTCCAGGGAAAGGGATCAAAGAAAAATATGCAATAAATGGATCCCTTTAATTATACTCCGTCTCTATTACAAATAATTCCAAAGAAAACCTCATACGATACAATGAAAGACAGATGTCACATACGCTACAAAGCTACAAGTACAGTCGCAGGCTACGCAAGGACCTGCCGTCAGTGACAGACAGCACCTATGACAGTACACCGGACACCTAGGCGGGCTGTAGGCTAGACCATCTAAGTCTAATGCTTACATGACGTTGAAACCACCTAACACTGTGTTTCTCAAAACAGCCCTGTCTGTAAGCTATGACATGACTGCACACGCGTGTGAGAAACTCTAGAAGGCAAGCTGAATGTGAGATCGGCTGCTATATCAGGGTGCTAGATTACACGGTAAGTTATTTTGCTTTCATTAAACTACTTTTGCCACACCTAAAAGAAAGCATCTAAAAGCCCACATGGGGGCCTGTGAACATCTGTGCAGATGTACGCTGAAGAGCCGGGAGGCGCGCCTGCCCTCAGGCAGGAGCATAGGCAGCTGGAGGTAGGGGAGAGGGGGCCACTCACCGTGAAGACACAACAGGGTTCTCCCAGTGCAGCACGCGGTAGGCAGCTTCGCAGGTGCAGCACAGGCGGCTCAGGAAGGCCTCCAGCTGGATCAAGCTGCAGACACAGGGGCTCTGTGAGAGGGCCGCCAGCGGCTGGGGAGGGAGGCCAGTCTCTTCACACACACTGGCCAGGCCAAGGTACCAGGTACACCTTACCCCTTCTGGGAGGTGGCAACAGTATGGAGGTTCCTGCTCCTCCCTGCTACTTAACTTCTCTGGGGCTGCAGTTGCTCATCCATAAAGTGAGGACCAGCGAACTACCTCACAGGCACATGCAGCTGTGAGGACAAATGGCGAGGCAGACCGACACTTCTCTACCTGATGTGAAGTAAACTCGCTTGGGGGGGTAGAACTTGTTTTATTTGGTTCTTTTAAAACATGGATGCACCTGGGACTAGCAGTTGGCATAATAGCTACGTCACTGGACTCTCATGTAGTCAACTGCAATTCGAATCCCAGACCCGGTGGCTTGGACTCATACCATGCGCATATATGTGTGCGCCCAAGATCCTGAGAAGAGACTTGCGGGTGTGGCCATTGCCCCGGGGGTGATTTCTTGCTTTCTGTTTCTTTGTCTCTGTCTTTCTGGTAAGCGCATGTGCCCTATAGCACAAACCTCTTCAAAAAAAAAAAAAAACATAGATGCACCCTAGAAGCCACATGCACATCCATTCACCCAGATCTGAGGGTTTTTTTGGAGCGGTTTTTGCTATAGGGAGCACGTACTCACCAGAAAGAAAGAGAGACAGAGAGACAGAAAGCAAGAACTCACCCCCAAGGGGGGATAGCCATGCCGCAATCCCTTCTTCTCCATTCTCCTCTCAGGATCTTGGGCACACATGTATATGCGCCCAGCGTGAGTTTAAGCCACCTGATTGGGGACTCGAACCAAGGTCGACTACATGGGAGTTCGGCAATATAGCCATTACGCCAACTGCTGGTCTGAAAATCTGAGTTTCTGAAAGGCTCCTTAGGGAAAAGGCTGACTCTAGGGCTAGGGCAGGGAATATGTGAGATGATCATGAACGTCCTGTTCTACCACAAAGGAAGGAAGAGCTCAAAAGTGACGGAGACACATTAAAGAGCACAGGCGCCAGCTTGAAAGATTGCCACTGTCCGAACCTAGAACAATCTAAGATCAAAATAAATAATAACACTAATAGATGACAGTCACTACATGAAGTAAAAACGTATACGTTTACACTGGTAAATACATTTGAAGAGCTCTTTCTTATAGAATAAATGTAAACGGAGTGGTAATTAGAAAATCGCCTTCTCAAACATCACAGTAATAAATGATTCCGTCAATGGATTTTAAGCAGCATGTGAATGTCTGACTAGGAAAATAATATTCACATAGCCTGGAGTCAGCAGGTGGCAGAGTGGTTAAGGCGCTAGACTCCCACATGGTCAATAGTGGTTCAAGTCCCAAACCCAGCAGCTTGAAACTCATGCTGGGCACGTGTATGTGTGTGCCCAAAATCCTGAGAGAATGGAGGAGAGAGGACTGCACCCCAACCCCCTGGGGGGTGATTTTTTGCTGTCATTCTGGGAAGCACACGTGCCCTATAGCAAAAATCTCTCTCAAAAAAAAAAAAAAAAAAAGATATTCACATAGTCTCCCTTCAGATTACTAAAATGAAGGATAAAATGATCATTTACAAAGAAGCCTTAACCAAGTGCCCAGGTTGGACTCTGCTAGCATCATATGCCTCCTGACACAGATGCAAAGACAACACATCATTTGTAATACTTCTGCCAAAAATGCCGAACCTTACTCTAATCACAAGGAACCAAATTTGACAAAAATTCTACAAAATAAAAAGCTTGCACTATTCAAACATGTGAAGGTCATGAGAAACAGACTGGGGAACCGCTCCAGGTTAAAGGAGACTAAAGACTAAATGTAATATATGATCCTAGATTCGATCCTGATCAGAGGGAACCGTCATAAAGAAGTTCATTAGGGGGACCAGCAGGTGGCATGGTGGTTAAGAGTGCTGGACTCTCACACATGGCTGACAGAGGTTCGAGTCCTGGGCCTGTCAGCTTACTTTCTCACTTTCCCCCTCTCTTTCTCTCATTCTGCCCCTCTCTGGTTGGTCAAATTAAAATAATTTAATTAATTAATTAATTAATTAAAATAAATAAAGTTAAATAAAAAAATAACTATTTTTTTAAAAAAGGAAGAAGCTTATTAAGAGCCAGATGTTTGTTGTTTTACAACAATAAAACGCAACCCTCACGATGGTGCAGAAGTAAAACACAACTATGTGTGAGGCTGACCCACCTGGGAAGGTTCTGGATTTGCATTGAGAGACCTCCCTGAATGCCCTGGGCACGTGCACAATGTGACCCGGGGCTGACTGAGGCTGGAGGTGGATCATGGCATCAAGACCCTGGTGCCGTCTGTCTGTCTATTTCCTACCCCCTAGTCTATCACTCATAAACTTAAGACCAAAAAACAGTTAATAATACAACTGATAAAATGTGATTATAAACTACAAATTGGATAATGCTATTAATTAATATTAATGATATCACTGTTCAATTTCCCAATTTTTATTATAGTACTGTGGACATATGAGAATGTCCTTGGTCTTAGGAAATGCATGCTGAAGAATTTGGGATAAAAAGGCATTTTGTTTGCAACTTACTTGCAAACAGTCTAGGAAAAAGAAATTAATGTGTATTACAGAGAGACAGAGATGAAGTCAATGCAGTTAAATATTAGTAACTATTTTATCTGGGTAAAAGGTATAGGGGAGTTCTGTTTGATGCTTGCACCCCTTTTGTAAGTTTAAAAATATTTCAAAGTAAAAAAGTCTTTTATAAAACCACATACTCAGGTCCTACTCCAGGTAATTGACTCAGAACTGCTGAGCGAGGCCCAGCCACCTGCCTGCTTGTACCTTACCCTACCCCCACTATGTGTGACAACTAACATTTACTGAACGCTTCCTGGGTTCCAGACACTGTTCATCTTCACTACCACCTTGTGTAGAACAAGCCTATGGCCATTCCATCTGACAGATAAGGAGCCCGGCACAGGGAGGCCAAGCAATCTGCCCAATGTCACACAGTAAGTAAACAGAGGAGCTTGGAGCTCAGGCTGGCTCATGCACACGTGCAGAGTCAAGGCCCTAGACCTGGATTCTCACCCCCACTTTCTGTGTGAGCCTTTTCTATATCTATACACAAGTGGTAGTGACAGTAGTGACCTCGCAGACCTGTTAGAGAGATGAATGGAACTGCGCCTGTGGGCTGCCTAACACAGTGTCGCACACACGGCAGGCGTTCAGGCGGTGGCCACTGTCACTGTTATAACCAGCTTGCTCCCACCACCCAGCCTCTCCATCATACTCACAAGCTCTTCACCTCTGCCACGGCCTCAGGGCGGGAAAGGCGAACTCTCTGCAGGTCTTCCTGCCGCACGCTGTGATACTTCCTCCGCATCAGCTCGGCCTTGGGCAGCTGTGCCCGGCAAACCTCCTGAAGGTAGCCCAGCAGGGCGGGCACTGAAATCATCAGGGCACCCACGGAGTACCATGCACCTGTGGGACCAGGAACACTGCAAGTAACCCAGAAAGCAAGGCCCAGGAGCTTGCCCGCCCAGCTGTCCACACGCCCACTCCCTCGCCTCCTCCAGTCTGCTGAGGCCTCCCCTGACCATAGGGGGACACACTCCCTCACCCCACCCTCAGCCACTTAACCTGGCTTTACTTTCCATCAAATCTCTTCACCTGACAGATTACAGGGATGTTCACTGTCTCCTCCAGTAACAGTCGCTTTTAGGGCCTGAGACTTTACCATTTGGTCATGGATGTAGCTTCAGCCTCATTTTTTTTTTTTTTTGGAGAGGTTTTTGCTATAGGGTGCGTGCGCTCGCCAGAAAGACAGAGACAGACAGAGACAGAAAGCGAGAAATCACCCCCCCCAAGGGGGATGGCCACACCACAATCCCCTCTCCTCCATTCTCCTCTCGGGATCTTGGGCACGCACGCACACGCACCCACAGCCTCATTTTTAATACAGTTAAAAACAGAGCTTGGGGCCAGCAGGTGGAACAGAGGTTAAGGTGGCTGGATCCCTCATGGATGACTGAGTGTGGTTCGAGTCACGGAACCAGCAGCTTGAAAAACACACCAGGTGCGTGTGCATGTAAGTCCCAAAAATGGAGAAGGGGCTGTAGCACTGCCATCCCCCAGTGTGTGATTTCTCACTTTACCTCTCCATCAAACACACATGCCCTATAACAAAAACTAAAAAACAGAAAAACCATGCAACCTGCACACAGTAGGTGGCTCACGCCTGGAGGCTGCTGGGAGCACTGAATGTCAGCTGATATTCAGACCTTTGAACCACTAAAGCAGACTGGAAGCCTTTCCTTTGGCTTTTAAAATACCACAAGCCATGGTTGATAGAGAACTGGTGAGGCTGAGATAAAATTCAAAGAAGGAACTTCCACGTAACGTGGTGTCCCGAGAGCAAGCTAATGAGGCAGTAGGCCATAGGCTAGGAAACATCACCATATGAACAGATTGATTTTGGAGGTATATGCAGGAAAATCTAACACTCTGAGAGTTTGAAGCAGGCAAAAAAAAGCCCAACAAAGAAACAGACGATGAGATCTGAGGATGGCCCTGTGGCCTAGCAGATATGGAAGCCAGATCCCACATGGCCAGCCATGATTCAAGACCTAGCCCCAGTGGCCTGGAGAACATGCCAGGCGTGTGCACGTGAATATCCAAATCCCAACAGGATGGAGAAATGGGGAAGGGGGAAGAAGGGATTGTGGTATGGCCACGTCCCATTGGAGGGTGCTTGCTCTCTCCCTGTCTTGCTGTCTCTCTCTGGCAAGTGCACACCTCTGGCAATGGACAAAAAAAAAAAACGGACACACGCGCTAGCACCAGCAGATGGCATAATGGTTGCATCGCTGGACTCCCATGGAGTTGACGGCAGTCTGAGTCCCGGACCTGGTGACTTAAAACTCACATAGGGTGCATGTATACCCAAGATCCTAAGAGGAGAAATGGAGAAGAAGGGATTGTGGCATGGCCATGTCCTTGGGGGGAAGGGGAGTGATTTCTTGCTTTCTGTCTCTCTGGTGAGAACACTCACCGTACAGCAAAAATCTCTCTCCAAAAAAAAAAAAAAAAAACAAAAACTTTTTTAAGATGAGATTTTTGTGGGACCAGCAGTTAGCGTAATGGCTATGTCGCTGAACTCCCACAGTCAACCGCGGTTCAAGTCCCAAACCTGGAACGGATGGGCTTAAACTCACGTCAGGCGTGTGTGCATGCGTGCCCAAGATCCCAAGAACAGAATGGAGGAGAAGGGATTGCAGTGTGGCCATCGCCCCAGGGGGTGATTTCTCACTTTCTGTCTCTCTGTTTCTCTCTCTTTCTGGACAGCGCACGCGCCCTATGGCAAATATCTCTGAAAAAAAAAAAGAAAGACCACCTAAGTAAAGGACCAGCTCCTCAAACATCCCACCCATGGACCCTCCCTCATCTTCCCCTGCAAGGTTCAGCTTCTTCTGCAGTCATGTGCCAGTTCCAACCAAGGAAAGGGCTGGGTCATGGCATGCTTTGTAACAAAAGGGCACATTGCTGCTGAAGACCCACGGACCCCATCCCCCTTCTATCTCAAAGGTGTAATGCCACTCCCCACTGCTGGTGACTGCCCAGCAGCACTTACCGGCCCACTTGCTGAACCAGAGAAAAAGCAACAGGTAATGGCAAAAATCCCTTATCCCATGCCATGACCCCAGGTGATCCCTGAATCAGTTAGGGAACCAAACTGGAAAAGGGTCTGTGCGTCAGTGATCAGTCAAGAAGGAAACAATAGCGGGACCAGCAGCTAGCGTAATGGCTATGTCGCTAGACTCCCATGTAGTTGACTGTGGTTCGTGTCCCAGACCCAGTGGCTTAAACTCACACCGGGCCCAAGTGTGTGCGTGCCCAGGATCCCGAGAGGTGAATGAAGGAGAAGGGACTGCGGCGTGGCCATCCCCCCTGGGGGGGAGGGGGTGGTGGTTTCTCGCTTTCTGTCTCTCTGTCTCTCTCTCTGTCTTTCTGGTGAGCACATGCGCCCTATAGCAAAAACCTAAAAAAAAAAAAAAAGAAGGAACCAATAGTGAGAGTAACAGCAGCTGTAGCGCACTGGCTGCTAGTGCTATGCCAGGCGCTGCCCTAAGCATCACGCACAGGTAATCTCATCCCTCACACACACTCTCTGAGAGCACTCTTACCCTCTCTTCAGAGATGGGCAAGGCCTTAACAGACACGTCAATATGTGCAAGAGGCTCAGCACCACCTCTGCAGGGCCCGCATCTGACACCAAGCAGACTCAGGATAGCTATCTCCAGGGCAAGAAGACGGGCTTCCTCCCGCGAAGGCTGCCTTTCAGTATTCTCCTCGAACTTCATTCACAAAATCCACTGGCCCCTGGGGCCAGCAGGTGGCGTGGTGATTAAGGCGCTGGACTCCCACAGGCCCACTGCGGTTTGGGACCCAGACCTGGTGGCTTGCTTGTTCTCTATCTCTCGTTCTCTCTCTCTCTCTCACTCTCTCACTCTCTCTTTCTCTCTGGTGAGCACATGTGATCTATAGCAAATTAAATAATGATAATAACAAAATATATATATTTTTTAAACTGGCCCCTGGAAGCAGTGCTTACCCTCATTCAAAGTGAGAAACAAGGCGTTGAGGCCCAGGCAGGTCAGCAAGGAACACAAAGGCGTCTGCCACCTACGAGACAGAGAGCCCCCATCACTACAGCCAGCCGCTTCCACAGTGGGGCGGAGAGGCCAGGCTGCACTGCTGGGACGTCACAACCAGGAGAGGCGGTGGTGCTGGGACACGGTGACCAGGGAGAAACGGGGTGTAGGCTCTCACACGGACAGGAAACCAGGGAGCTGTGAGGGCCTTACCCATTAGGCCCCAGGTGAGAGAACTAAAAGACATGTGGAACTTTCTCCTAGGAGGATGAATTTACATAATATCTATTAAGAAACTTAGTTAATGCTATTTAACCCATATTTTGTAAGGTTCTATTCTCCCTAAGAAACAAAGCTGACATTCTTCTTTAATAGTTTCTTTTATTTCTTTTTTTACAATTTCCTAAGAACATATCATCACTATGCAAGATTTATCTGCTGGGCTGTTGGGAAAATCATAATGTATTTCTCTATGCAAAAATGCATCATGACTTTTCCAGTGACCCAATAATACAGAATGGAAAAAAACAATTTCTAGACTTCTTTGACTCCATTTGGTTTTTATCTTATATCTATAATTTTGAGTTTAAGCATATTAAAATATTAAAATCAGGGGCCAGCAGGTGGCATGGTGGTTAAGGGTGCTGGACTCCCACACGGCTGACCATAGTTCAAGTCCCAGACCTGGCGACTTGCTTTTTTACTTCCCCCCACTCTCTCTCCCACTCTACTCCTTCTTGTCAAATTTAAAATAAATAAATTAATAAATAAAGTTAAATACTCCTTTTAGAAGATTCCTGCAAAATAGTGATTTCAAGGTAAAAGAGAAATGAAGATTTCCTACTGATAATTCAGCTTCCAGCAAGCAAGCTAGAGTGGCAGGAGAGGCGAGAGGCAGGCCTCCAGGAGAGGATTCCTCACGGCTCCTGCAAAATAGTAATTTCAGAATTGAACTTCAAGAATTAGGGAGAAACACACCATCCATCAGATGACTAGAAATCACTGCAGGGCCACAAGAAATATGGGAAAGCAAGAAAATACCTCTCCTCCAAGGGAAAATAACTCCTCTTCATCCACAAGCAGTTCAATGGAAATCATGGAAATGTCTGATAAAGAATTTAGAACATTCATAATGGCAAAGCTAACAGAGATGGAAGAGAAGAGAGACAACGAACTGCAGAAGAGAAAGGAGAAAGAAGCTGACAAGTTCCAGGAGGTGAGGAAATTCTTGCAAGATCTAAAAGAGGAATTACACACTTTAAAAAAGAATCAAATGGAATTGTTAGAGATGAAGGCTATAATACAGGAAGTAAAAATCTCCCTTGAAAGTATTAAAAGCAGACTAGATCATACAGAAAATAGAATCTCAGACATAGAAGAGAAAATTGCTGGCCTAGAAAAACCCACCACAAAGACTGAGAAAATCGCTCAAAAAAATGAGAATAAGATATGAGAAGTACTAGATACCATCAAATGTCCAAACATCCAGATAATTAGCATTCCAGAAGGCAAAGGGACTCATAAGGGCATTGATAATCTATTCCATGAAATCCTGCAAG